ATGCCGCAATGCATGATGGGAGCCATGGATGAGTTTTGATTGACTACAACATGCTTTTTTGATGGTCACCATTGTTGTGATTCTCACGCTGATTCTTGATATCTGTGTGTCTAATTTAAAAACAGTTTTGTTTATAAGAAAATTTTTGATCAAAATAAGTTTTAAAAACATCTATCTGATTATACTGAAAATGTCAAATGTCATGTTGTTCACAGTACTGACGTAACCAACAAAAAAAACCTAACTCAGATTAAGCTATGATATGTAGTTGCGATGGAGGGATCAGGGACAACCCTAATAATTTATTAAATATTTATTAATTTATAATTTATTACTATTATTAATAATATCATTACTATTATTTGCATCCTTCACTGTCCTCCACCCTTTCCTAATCTTAATTAAATCCTTATTATTATTATTATTATTGTTGTTATAGTTATTTTTGTCATCATTATCGCTTATAATACTTGTCTCCACTGGTCTTGTCATTTTTTTTTTGTAGTTATACTTGTTATATCTGTTATAAATCTTTTAGATACTCAATGATTTGTATGCTTCCTCCCACACACTTACAATGACACGCACGCGCGCGTACACACACGCTCATAACCATAAGAATACATATACAGGAGTTAACAGAATTATCTTGAAATGTTAGCTATCTGTATATATGTTTGTCCAAATGATTCTGTATTTGGCACTTACAAATATTGTCACATTCCTTACTTGCATAATAATAAAAAAAAAAAGAGGAAAAAAAAACCTAACTTAAATATTCAGATCATTACATGATGATTGTAAAAAAACACAAACATCACCATCTAATGACATTTTCTCTTTGCTTGTCTGGCTGTTATAATTCAGTTATAGCAGCAAAACTAAATGTAATATTAAAATGTCAAGGGTCAAGAGCTCAACTAATGTAAACACTGACCACTATAATGGTGACTTAATTTTTTTTTATTTTCTTCTTTGGTGATTCTGCTTGTTAACATCAGGTGTCTTCAATAATGGTCAATCATCACTCAATGAATCTCTTGATTACCTCATTAACTTTAACACTGCTAACACTCTGTAGTGTGGACACATATAGACACCCAGCAGTGTTCATTTGACACCAGGGATTTTGCTGTGCACCAAACATGTTTGTGTTTGTTTATTACATGACAGGTGAACAGGTGAAGAATATGAAGGGAAGACATGTCCCTTCAAATAAGCAAAATATATTGGATATTGCTGGATACTGTTGCTTGTATCCTGAAATGCCATGCTTTGGCAATAAACTGATTATCATAAACAACAAATGTATTTTTCTAGGGAAATGGCATGACCATGGGATAAATTGTTGCAGTTAATTTAGCCTGAGGCTTGAAACAACTGAAGTATTTCTAAGTAATTAATCATATTTATTTTGTAAGTGTAATCCTCTGGGCTTACTTTAATGTGTAGACACCAAAGCTATTTAACACAGAAAAAAACAACATGCTTTTCAGGGGTAAATATATATTTGACCCAATATGTCCCAATAAATATATTATACAGTATTTTTTATTTCCATCATAAAAAGTTACCCCAAAAGAAAAACGGAATAATGAGTTTCTTACTGAATAATATACATTGGAAGAAAGCTTGGAAATAAATATTAAAAGCAAAGATTTACCATGATTTGTGAAATCCCAGAGGGCTCATAGTTAGATCTATTTTAAAATCATTCATATTTTACACATTTAATTTAATTGATTTATTACAGTATGTTTTATGTCAAACTCTCTCCTTGAGACTCTAGCGCTCTGCTGGTAAACTGTGACATCTTCTCTCATGAGCTCCCTCTTGAGGCTGCATTAGGACTTAAACTATAACACATTGTCATATACTATGTTTAGAATTAAATTTAATGAATTTATCATCTCCAGGCTTATATTATAATGTACTGTATAAAGAAAGATAAACCCACTTAAGTAAACAAAGTGTAAGTTATGTCTTGATTTCCATGTCTACTATGTGTTAACAATATACAAATTTTTAATGAAGATACAAAAAAATTTAATAAATAATTAATTGAAAATTTTAAGTGGGGGACGTCAATCTGTCCATGCATTTCATTACAACTACATAATCACAATATACAAAATCCTAAAACATATGAAGTCTATCTATCTATCTATCTATCTATCTATCTATCTATCTATCTATCTTCACTGTAAAAAAATTGCCCAGAATTTACAGGATTAAAGAGTATTATTTTACAGTATATTACTGTAGTCAGAAATTGACTCCGAAATCAAAGCATGCTGGGTAATTTTCTTACAAATGACTGAATGAACAGCAGAATGATGCTAACATCACAGTAATTTACTGCTCTTGTTTTACTGTGAATTCACATTATAAAGTTGTCTTTAACTGTGCCACTGTGAGAAATTTAGTTGTTTACTGTAATTGTTTTGAAGCCACCATAATTGTGATTGATGATGCCATTTGTTTGTGCTCTTTGACCTTGCATATTCATATTCAAATTTATGATCTAATCACGTCAGAAGTGTGACAGATGAAAACATTTGTTAAAATGATGACAAACTAGAATATGAAATAAGTTATTCACCTGACTTTCAGGATAGTCAAACAATTCTTCACATAAACATGAAGATATTATTTTAGCATTATTTAAACAAGAAAATTAACCAATAACTTATTTCATATTCATAACTGTTTGTGGACAGATCTTTCACAATAGTGAAGCAACTGCTGAGAAACGTCTTTGAAAGATGTGACATTAATACTCAACATACAAAACACAACAATGGTAACACTCAACAAATAAAAACAACACTTACAACATAAACCAATAACACAAACTGCTAAAAGTGAACTAAAAACAAGTTCATTAGCACAAATAAAACCAACAAGAATAAAAAAAAAACTCTACATCATGCTGCATTGCATGCTGGGAACCTTCATAGTACATATGCACTGTAGAAACACAGTATGAAGCTGTTTGTTTACAAGTAATTTCTGAGAGTGCAGTTAGATACAAGAGAAGTCCCACTGTGAAACTACTGTGAAAGTCATGCAATTATTAACCTGGAATATACTGTCATTTCACACTAAAGATTTTACAGTGAAGTTAGTATGTGTAATCTACTTATTTAAAAAAAAATGTTCCCATGAGAGTGGGAAAAACAACTCTAGGCTAAATTAAACTTAATAACAAAAATCCTTCACATGTGAAACTGCTGGCTCAGTATCTGCATTTGTCCAGGTGACAGTCTTGTTCAGGACATGTTGTTTTGATTCACTTGTTTGGAGCTTGTGGAGTTTCCACTGTCAAATACTGAACAATATAGAGAAAGATAAAATACACTCAGATCTGCTTTAATACAAGATAATAAATGAACCACAGACATGAAGATATATCTTTCATTTCATCACGCTGAATGCTCACCAAAAACTGACGCAGTCATCACGTTTTCAGACCATTTCAAGTTTTATTTTGACGTGACACAAAGTAGTGGTATCTAAGCGGGAGAGTTGTTTACTTTATATTTAGTCAATAACACCATAATTTTCTTCATTCAGGCCAAGAGTTCGCACGAAAACAAGATTTATCGCATGAACCAATCACATTCAATCATAACCGATCATATCCAGTCATATCGCGATGGAGGCATTGCCTCCTCTCACGTGACTTTCCCCCATTCATTCTCAATTACAACCCAGAAAAGTCACGGCAGCTAAGGGCTCTCTGCTGAAAGTCTATGGACAGAAGGGAGGCAAGCCTCCGCTGTAACTTTACCTGTGGGTGTCACTGTTGGACAGTGTTACTTTATAAAAACTATTATTTTGTCATCCAATTTTTTGAGGAGACACTGCCCCTGATTGTACTGTAACTGTTGCACTATACTGCTGTAATATAAAGAAATGCATCAAATTGCCTCACATACAGATATAATTTCTGTATGTGTTACAGTTACAGTAATCAGTACTTCAATTTTTGTAGGACACAGAGACGATCACCTGGTGGAGGCAGGCAGAGGCTTTTGTCAGAGGAGCAAGAAAGGGAGCTGGTAAACATGGTCATTGCCAACAATGTAATCCGCCTGCGAGAGATTCAAAGGAGAGTGATTGAAGACAATCACCAATTTAGAGGGATAAATGCCATCAGCCACTCCACAATTGATCGCATCCTCCAAAAGCACAGGTTCTGGATGAAACAGGCAAATGTGCCTTTTGAAAGAAATTCTGACAGAGTCAAAGACCAACGTCTGGAATATGTTCAGGTTTGAGTTTGTACTGTAAATTGAATGAAGTATTGTGCATTGTCACAGTACAACTGTAAGCTACAAATAAGTATGTGGTGGTCTGACATTTGAACACCCTTGAACTGTGTTTCGGGGTAGTCATACTCTACTGTGTTAGTAGTAGTATCCTACACTATGTGTCAGATTGGTGATTTATGACCTGATTTATGACCTGTCTTCCATCGCTCTATCGCTTCCGTCGCTTAGGGGACCACATGCAAAATAACTTATTATCAGTTTTTGTAGTATTGTTTTGAATTTATCTCATCAGTGTGTTAGGACTGTGTTGTAGTCTGTGTTTTTGAGGGTTTGTGTGTCATGTCTGAAGTTTACTTTTTCAGCAAGATTGAGTTGTTTTGAGTGGAGAGCTTCATTTTGACCTGAATATAGGAAGTTTGGGGAATTGAGTTAGAAGTTATGGATTTGTGTTTAGAGTTTCGCAAAAAAAAAAGTCATAATTTCAAGAAATGTGTTTAAGCAATCGAGAAAAACTGTAAGTTATAATGTGATCTTCAAGCAGTGTAAGAATATTTTTTAAAGAACATTTTCTGTATTTTGTAAATGCATTCTGCAATGTACTCAGTTAACAAAAGTAAAGGGCAACAAGAGAGGGCAACAAACAAAGTGTGTTTCAACGGAAAACACATTTGTGTAATTTTACCTTTTACTCAAAACCTTATAGTTATTGAGATGTGAAGAGACTCACTGTAGTTTCTGCAGTTTACAGTGTGGATCCTCCAGTAGAGCAGAGAGCAGCTTCACTCCTGAGTCTCCTGGTTTATTACGACTCAGATCCAGTTCTGTCAGGTGTGAGGGGTTTGATCTCAGAGCTGAACTCAGAGCAGCACAGCCTTCCTCTCCAATACTGCAGTAACTCAGCCTGCAGAGAGAAAGAGAAAAACAGCTAAAATTAATAATGAATAGTCATGTGTTATAAAGGTTTGTTATTGAAACAATGTAACACTATTCATCTCCATCTCTTCAATAAAAATATGTCTGATTTGAAAAGTGTGTTTTCCTTTATAAAGTGACTCTGTAAGGCCTTGTCCACTTCTCTCTTCAGTAAACTGGTCATTGGTGACCTGAACACATTCTTCAGTCCTGTGTTTCGTTCAGAAAAGGACAGCAGCTTGAATAAAGCAGCAAGAAACTCCTGAATACTCAGATGAACAAAGCTGTACACCTTCCCCAGCTGCAGCCCAAACTCCTCTCTGAAGATCTGGGTACAAACTCCTGAGTACACGGACACTTCTCTGACATCAATGCCGCTCTCTTTCAGGTCCTCCTCATAGAAGATCAGGTTCCCTTTTTCCAGCTGTTCAAAAGCCAGTTTTCCTAGAGACAACCTCTATAAAATATGATTTTGAAATCTTGATACTCACTGTTTTTCTCTCTTCGTGTCGTTTACTTCCTCATCTGACAAAACAGATCCTGCTGCAATAGTTTCACTTTCATGTGTCACCTGACAAGGAGGAGTTTGAGTCTCTTAATATTAACTTTCATTCTTTATTATTTAAAGTTATAACACCTGAATGTATTTTCCTCACAGGTGTACTCTGAGTGTTGTTTAACTGAATATATAAAGGCAGCTCTCTGTAAAATATTAATCTTATGGCTCTCTGTCAACTTCCTCATCACTTGCTCCCCTACAGGATACGAGAGGAATATTTTAATAGTGTCAAGAATGTAATTATTTTCTTTAGTAATGTGAGAAGCAAAGAAAGCAATAATCATCTGGCTATAAGGTAAAAACATAACTATTTCAAAAAGTTACACAAATAAAACCTATCAAAAACCAGGATATACGTGTAATAAAAAGGCTGCTGGTTAATCTTTACAGATTCCCATCTGCTAGACTGCTACTATCACTATTGACAATATAACACAGACTTTACAGTGAACTACAACAAAATCCAAATTAATGACCAGAAACAAGTTTATTTTAATACAGTATAATTTCTAATACAGTCTCTCAATGCAGCATCTTATAATTACAGTGAACCAAAAACAAGTTCAACAGCACAAATAAAACCAACAAGAATTAAAAAAAAAAACCTCTACAGCACGATCTATTCATGCTGCATTGAATGCTGGGAACAATCACAGTACATATGCACTGTAGAAACACATTATGAAGCTGTTTGTTTAAAGTAATTTCTGAGACTGCAGTTAGATACAAGAGAAGTCTCACTGTGAAACTATTGTGAAAGTCATGCAGTTATTAACCTGGAATATACTGTCATTTCACACTAAAGTTTTTAACAGTGTATGTAATTGTACTGTTATTTTACAGGTATTTCCTGAATTTTTATGATCAAACACCTTCACTGAAAAACAAAAGATAAAAAAACAAATAAAAAAAAACGGTCAAATGACTGGCAGCACGGGGTGCCAAACAAAAACCTGAAAATTAAAGTAAAATATCCTTATTTAAACAAGCTGACAACACTGTTAATTTACAGGTATTTCCGAAGTTATTACAATCAAACACCTTCACTGTAAAATCAACTAATGAACTAATTAATTAAACGTCACATGACTGTTAGCAACAGCACATTAAACACTAGAGAGAGCGGGAGAAATAGAGTATGTGCATTCCGTACATAATTAAAAGGAATTTTGTGGCAAAAACATGGAAAGGATCTGTCGTTTTTATACTATTGTTTACTATATTTATTTATTGGGTCAGTGTCGTTGTGGGCTTTGGATATTTTGCTGTTGTAAGCTGTAAGGACCTTTGAAATAACTGAAATGATTTGACGAAGTGATATGAACATGTAATGCAGTCAAGAGCTGCCTGGAACTACGTTCGCTATGAGTTTTCCTGAAACTAACTGCACACCTTAGAACATTGGTCAGCCAATCAGATTAAAGCATTCAATGGCCCCGTAGTAAGATGATTAAAGGGTTAGTTCACCCAAAAATGAAAATTAGGCTGCGTTTTACTCACCCCCGAGGCATCCTAGGTGTATATGACTTTCTTCTTTCAGGCGAATCCAGTCATAGTTATATTAAAAATTGTCTTTGATCTTTCCGGGGGATCAACAAAGGCCTTCTGTAGCGAATCAATGCGGTTTTGTAAGAAAAATATCCATATTCAAAACGTAATAATCACTTTAATGTAGCTTGTGCCAA